ACTAACATATTGTCAGCCTTTTAGTATTTTCTCGACTTCATGAGTTTTTTTTTTTCCAAAAGTGGGATAGAAATACTGGTTTCAGGGGAGCAGTTTTTACAAGTCAGAGTGACCTGAAAAATGTCAACTATCGTTTTCTGACGAATGTGAATAGTATTGACTATGTTGCTCTTAAGGACTTGTGAGAAACGCTTGTGTTATTTAAAAAATAATTACTGATCATCATAAATGTACAAATTAATACTACCTCTCCCTTCGACAACCTAATCTAAGGCATAAGCGCAAACCTGGGAAGCCATGAGGTTTGAAACATCACGATGGCTCTTTTTCGACCTATGACCATGTACATATATCGTAAGTGGGATTGTGAGTAGTTGTTATGGGTAGTCAGTATCTTTCCTTCAGCAGACAGCTGTCAAAAACTATGAAAATGAGGAATCAGATGGTTTTCTAGTCCCAAAGGGCCCCCCAGAAGAGCAAAGTCTTCATCTAAAAACAACCCAAAACCTCAGTTTTGCAACGTTCTGGCTGCATCAGTTTTAGATGATATGTTCCGTTCCAATGTACGTGTACATTAGTCATTATCTCCTGCCTCACCTTTAGTCATGAGGCATGTCAAACAGACAATATGGTCTATGAAAACCAGGTTTTTGTGGACTTTGTACTCAGGGTTTTGTGGAGTTTGTTCATCTTTTGGCTTAGTCACTCTTTCTCTTTTGCCGTCTGCAAAATGTAGTCTTCATCTGTCCGTCACTTTTACTCTCATGTCATGTTAGTTTCTTCTTAGTTTCACGTTCTCACTCACGCCCACTGTCCTCCTGGTTTTAGACATTTTCCCGCTTCTACATACTTGATTCTGATTGAAATGGATCTTGTTAAGCTCTGCACGGGCCTGCTACTGGGACACTGATGCGAATCGAGTGTTGAGGCAGGGAAACACCTGAGACCTGCAGGACAGCGGCTATAGCATGACAAACCTGGTCTATATTTGAATTTTTTTTTAATCAGATTTTTGTGGTTTCCCAGCCCTTTGACACTTATTGCTTAGAAATAAATTGATAAAGTTCACCATTTAACAAGCTCATCCGTTTTCTAGTTTTCCCACCTGATTTTCACGAACAGCACCCCATACCAAACAAAATCCAACAAAGGGAACTCTTGAACTTTTAGCATCAGTGTCACAAAATGCTGTAAAAACTGGTATATTGGTGTATATATATATATACTTGACCCCTCTGCTCAGCCCCTTGGTCTATGGTGGTTTCCAACTCAGGTCCTTGAGGCACACTGACTTACATTCCAAGTTTCTTTGTTCCATCACACCTGATTCAAATAAATGGAACAGCCCTCCAGCTCTCTAAGCTCTGCAGAGGGTTGATGAAGACCCATTCATTTAAATTGGGTCTGCTGGAGCAGGAAAACCTGGAAGACATTTAGGGTAGTGGACCTTGGGGACCAAGATTGGGACTAACTACTGTAGAGCACAGGTGTCAAACTCCTCAAGGGCAGCTGTTCTTCCAGCTTTAGATGCTCTTAAAAAACATTTCTTCTTATTTCTGCTTGGCATTAACACTACATCTGTTAATAATAAGAGTAATTAATTTGATTTCAGTTCTCATTTTAGGATTAATATGCCAAGTTCATGCAAAACTTTGGTGGATAAAAGGGACACATCATGGTACCCTCACTCATAGATCACTTATAGGACAGTTTTTAATTTGGCAATCTGACAAAAATGAAGGACAGTAGCACAACCACATCCGTTAAACCGTTTAGTCAAATGAGCAAAAATAATAGTTCTAATGTTCTTTACTGTGGTGACAGAGTAAAGAAAGTTCCAACAAACTATGTACAACTAAATGTAATTGTATGCAAATGAGACAATGAGACATGTTAGCATTTTCACCAACTGATTGGTTTATTCTATTCTCTTGGAAAAGTACAGCTAAGATAAAAATAGAAATGAATAAGGAAAAGACGCCAAAGTTAATGACTTGAGCCCTGGATGTGATTTACTTTATGAACAGCTAATAAAGTTTAACATTTCAACTCCAAAGGGAAAGTTTGACACGTGTTAGTTCTTCTGGACATTAACAATGTAAAGCAGCGTGACGTGTAATTCTGCAAATGCCCTTTACATTATCTGGATGGACTTTAGATGATCTGGATTCAATGTGCCATTGCATTATTAGTAAAGATAAAGGATAAAGTGTAAGGTAAAGGTGCATGGGAAACATTCTGTCCCAATCTGAATCAATTAAGGGACTTTGTTGTCTCTTTAGAGCTGTGCTGGCGTTACTGTATCTTAGTTAAATAATGATTTTAGAAGCAATGGCAAGGTTGGTACAACCTAGAGTTTAAAGAAACACCTTTAAGTGAAAGTAAATGCTAATATTTGAATGCAAATAAATAAAAAAGAGTGAGAGGAATAAATAAATCTAACAGCTTTGACTTTCCTTGCTTTCTGTCCAGTTCAGGAAGTGTCTGATCCAGCACTTCACCGGCATGGGTGTCATCCCAGAGAGCAACTTGAATCAGACCTCAGAGCGTCCCGGAATAACTGCTGAGAGCCAAACAGGAGAGATGTCGGCCATTGCCGCCCGCATCCCCGTGGGCGGCACAGCGTCGCCCAGATCCGACGACTCCCAGACGGACTGTGGCTCATTTGCTCAGCTTCCCATTCCGGAGAACAAAGTGTGTCCACTGTAACATAGGTCTCATCCCAGTAGGTGTTCATTCTCCCAGAGAATCCATATTAATCTTTCTGTCATCAAGCCACCGTATGCTCCAGTAACTCTTTGGACTCCAGAAAGGGATTGAAAATGATTTGTCAGTTTCTTGGGAAAAAGAGAGGGAGAGAGCTTGAACTTTTGAAGGATTTAAAGTTGTTTAAAATTGTTCTGGAACTTTGAAAAAGTTTTGTTTTTTGTTTTTAAAAAGTGACAATGAAGGCAAAGCCCATGAACTGAAGAAAGAGAAAAGCTTCAAGCTTTTCCCACAAGGTACCTAGTAAATATTTGCTTGCTTGACACTCCTCTGTCCTGGTAATCTAGAATGTCTGTGTTCTCCTGACTCTCATTGCATGCCCGGCAGTCTGCAATTAAATTTCAATAAAAGAATGGACTGCAAAAAACACAAACCTTGACATCAGTAAGTCAAGGGCCCGCCACTTTTTTTTTTCTTTTTTTTTTAAACAGAATGCATCAAGGCTTTCATCTTGTCCTTGCCTTATCTTTTAAAGCCCCATGATGCAGCCTGCATAGAGAGCATTGTTTTTCTATGCTGTTTCAGTATTGGCTTTGGCAGTATGCTTCATTCATGTTTGGAGCTGTCTTTGAATTTGGATGCTTTCCCATTCCTGGGCTAGTTTGGGTCAAGGCTTTTGTCTTGAGTTGACTTGAGGATGCCAGCCTCCCGTTACCCCTTTTGCAAATGTAGGAGGGCAACATGTTTATGAAGCATCAGCTCACACAACTCTGTACGACACACACGTATACATGCAGTAAATATACATGAGGACACACACATTTCAGGATATATACACAGATCGCTGTTTGCTTTTATAAGTTACACAGTCACTGTGAAGATAACTACGATAGCTCTGTGTTTGTACATCACACCAACAGATCAGCAGCAATATAAAAGCTAGATAATGTCCCATGTATAAGCACTACAGCATTAGCTACAGTAGCTGTAGCACTAAGTGTTAAACTGTCTTCTTCTTGACTTTGTTGTGCATGTTTGTTCACTGTTACTGGGTATTTGTCGAGGCTCTGTCACAGTTAATGTAAAAAAAAAGAAGAAAAAGTAACACTATGGTGTCTGTGTTCAATGTGCTGTGTTTCCTGGTCATGTTTGGATGTATTGTCCAAAGTAACATTCAGCACCTCAAAGACCAGATCGTCCTCGTCAGACTCATAGTGACGGCGTGATATAATCAACAGGATAAGGATTAACAGGATAACAGGATAAGACAAGAGTGTGTTGAAGAGGACGAAGAATCGGACTCCATTACACAGCCGAATGCTGCAGAGAATTAAGGACATTAGCAAACATTCTAACTTCGTCAGTTCCAGAAGTTTGAGTTTTTTTTTGTTGTTGTCAGTGTGTCATTTGGGATTGTCAGTTCTTAAAATGCCTATGTTTACTGAAAAGGTTCATCGTGTGTCAAAATCATGCAATATACAGGAACAGGACCTGGATTATATTTTTTTCGTTGCTTTGGTGATTGTATAAACATTTAAATGATCAGCTCAAATGTGCAAATGTTCAGGCCACATTTCAGGGTTTGTCAGAATCGAGGGCCACTGCTGAATTACACTTTGTTTATGTACGGCAACAGTTCCCGTTGTGTCTTTTATGTTGGGGTGTTATGAATATGTCCGTCCGTCCATGGATAAACAGCAGCGTATCCATCTCCTCTGTTGTTGCAGCATATAAAGCATTTACAAAGGCACCCTTTTGTAGACTGTCTTGGTTTCCAGGAACGGTTTCCGGAGAGAAAGGAGAGAAAATGACAGGTTTTCAAGATAACATATTTCCAATCAGAAACTTAAAATAAGACACGGCTTTTAGTAGGCAGTGGAATTAATGAGACCCGTCTCTTGTTGTTACCGCATTAAACTACATTTTACGGCTCAAAGTTTTGACTGGGCAGGAGGTGTTTGGACGTGAATTCAGGAATGTTCCAGTGAGCCATGAAGTCCAGTAAAAACTTAATTGCGGTGACATCATAATTGTGTAACAAAGAAACATGAGAACAAAAGGTGAGCATGTTACCTTTCATGTAGCCAAAAATCTGGTGGAGTAAATAAAACTGAGTAATGAAGTGAATAAGAAACAGAAATGTAATTCTGATTAGGTGCTCTTTTTCATTTTGAGTCTTTAAATGGACGGTGTGTGTAACATTTTGTCACAATCCATTTTCTGAGCTTTTCTACCATAAACACGCTTACCTGTCGGCCATGTAGATTCAGTTTGTGTGTAGTTTCTTGTATGTAGACGCACTGCCTTGAAGATCCGACAGGATATAAATCAAAAAGGTTCGTTGCAGAGTGGGGTATTCTGGTGGAAGGATTATGCACCACAGTGTAAGCTTTTAAGGACAAGGACCACTTTTGGCCCATAAATTTGCCCCATAACTCTTATTTCTTATCTCATCAGTTGTTTCCTCTGTGTGCTGTGTTCTCCCAAGTCTCAGCATTAAAGTATGCGTTTTGAAGTGTGATGTTAAACTATTTTCCTGTATTGGTACGTCACAATTACTGTCATCCTTGCCTTTTAAACACAGGGTGAATCCATGGAGCGACAGGAACTGACAAATTTTATTAGACTTGGCTGGAAATAACTTTTCTGGTACTGAAGTGTAACTGTAAGAAATTCTGTTAAGTGCTTCTTCTATCATCTAAAGAAATTACTTTTGTGCTCTGTTTTACAGCTGTAGGTGTATTGTTTAGGTAAGTGTAATGTTTATGACAGTTAATGACTAATCTACCCCAAAAGACATTAAAACCGACCAGCGTCTTACTACTGTGCAATAAACAAATGCTCATAGACTTACCAGATTTGTGAAAACGTAATTCATATCACGTCAGTATGTGACATCTCAGCAAAATGAGTAAAAAAACATAATGCACAGAGAAATAAAGCACGAGTGAAATCAGTACTTCCAAACAAGCAATATGACCAGATGTTCAGCTAAACCAAAGGTCAAAGATCACAGTTAAAGAGAAAAGTGATTAATCGAGTACTTTTTTAATCCATCCATTTTCGTAACCGCTTATTCCCTAATGGGGGTTGCGGCCTTTTTTAATCCATGAAACCCACAACTATTCTGACCAATTGATCAGATGTGGACTTGTTTATGAATTATACATCAACCCTGACTGGTATGGTAGGTTTTGGCAGGAGTTTTAATGCTGGGTGTCCTTCCTGACGCATTCCCCACATTTAGCAGGACTTTGAACACCACACACGTCCATTTGAGGCTGCATTTCAGGTAACACAGGGTTCAATGTTTTGTCCAAAGACACCTGTAGACTTGAATCATACTGCCTATTGGCAGACAAACACAAAACAGTGTAGGGACACAAAAGATGTAACACTCCTGAGAAAATGTATCTGTCACCCCATAACACATATGTCTCACTGACTTTCAATTTAACGAGAAAAAAACGACTTTTTGCAACATCTGAGTAACTTAACAATAGCGGGGGTCTGGCTATTGATGGTTTTTCCTGTGTCTCTGCCCCAGCACACCTGATTCAAACGAGAAGGTCCAATCCTTCAGCTCTGCATAAAGAGGATAGAAGACCAAATTATTAGAATCAGGCCTTGAGGACCAGGGATGTAAACGCTTGTTTGGAGAATCCATAAAAAAAGAACAGAAGATTTTCTGGGTTCACCGTAGCTCTTTTAAATGCTACATATTTCGAAATATACTCATGACATTGATGCTGCTAACTAATATTGAAAACCATTACTTTAAGTTTAGACAAGCTTCTGTCTCACTGCTAACTCAAAGCAAGATAATATGTGGGTTTTGTGTGTGGTTTGGATCTTAAATGACTGGTCAGGTCTTGGGGACAGAGGTCTTGTTCAAAGTAATAAATGCTATAATAAACCCCAACAACTCTTTAAAAGCTAGTCATCCTGACGTTGAGAAAAACCTGTGCTCACAAATTGAAAATGGGCTGGATAGAAGCTCACCTTCGTAATAGGCTAGGTTCCTGGTTTGAATCCAAGCTGGGACCTTTGTGTTTAGAAATGGTTTGTTCTGTTTCCCCCCTCAGAAACGTGCGTCTCCACCATGAATGCTCCGCGTGAGTCATTTAGTTAAACTAAATTGCATTAGGCGGAAAGGGAAAATGGATGGATTGGCAATTCTAAACAGCACAGGCAGGGCAATTTTGCAACCCAACAAAATTCTGCCTCCATTCTAGTCAGTGTGTTACGGAGAGGCTCGCTGCAAAGATGCAGCTTTGTTGTTGATGCTTTTTCTCAAGGATGAAAGAGGTTCATTTGATTAACAGTCCTAAAGAGCTCCCTGTAGATATTTTTAACCTAATTCTGGGGAGAGGGGTGTTCAAGAGGACGCATTCAACGCTGCCATGGCGTGTCAGCGGTATTTCCTGCACCTAACTGAACCGTGTGAGAAATAACTTCAGATAAGACTTAACATATGTCAAAGATTAACCAACAGCTCAGTGCGTCTCCCCGGAGTGAAGAGGTGGGACAATGGTGATCTACTAATAATGCACACAACTCCGTATAAGAGCCCACGCTAATGCCAGAGGGAAAACTGTGAGTATTTCAGTTTTTTCATCCTTTCTTCTCAACTAAAATGCTGTGGACTATGAATTGTCTTGTGCACGAATTGGGCTCTGTCAATCCATTTGCTTTGCCTTGAACCAGCGTTTCCAGTGTATGCACACGCATCAAAGACATTTGAATCCCCTCGTAATACTCGGGGTCGGGGTCATTTGAAACACGACCGCTTTACATGGATTTCTTAGGTTTAGGGATTGCCGGTGTGCTTTGTGTTCAGCTCGATCCCAGCAAAAATGAGTAGATAAACACCATATCCTTAACACAACCTATTGTCAGGTACAGTTCTATCAGATCTGTGAACTGATTATCAATGAGGAAAAGGATTCAGCATCATCTGATAGAAGAGTTTTATATATAGATACTCCATTAGCTTGAAAATAATGTAATTGACTCAATGTTTTCACTCATTTTCTACATGGCTTTTTCATTTTCTACATCACACTGATCAGCTTATTGCACAGAGGGGAACTGTAGTTGAAGGCAACTATAGTATAGGGTTGGAAAAAAGAATCTAAAATGGACATTGGTTAAATAAACTGTATTTAATAATTCTCATTTAATTTGCGGCATCTTAACGGCACATCGCACATTTGCACTGAGAATTGCACGGTTGGAAGAGATCAATAATGGATGGAGAAACAAAGAAGAGTGGAAGGGTGTCAACGTGATACATCCGTCTTATGTGCCAGTGGTTCAGCTTGTAAAAAAAAGACAGCAAAGAGTGGAATAGAAGCACATTCTGCCATCTCTCAAAGTGAACAGGGTTTCTTTCTTAATTTCCTTCAGTAACATGATTGTAATTGGTGTTTTCAAGGCCCAGTTCTGCATCGACATACAAAGAAATCAATATTTGTGCTGGACACATGAAAGCAAATGGCAGAAAACATGAATGTTTGACAGCCAGTAAACACATCATCAACCCTATCATGATATTATTATTATAAATCGTTCATTAAAGTGGCAAGGCTACAAATTTATTTTAAGATAATTATTCAAAAATGCTGTCAATTTAGGATGTGGCTGCTGTTTGTTTGTCTTTCTTCTTATTGAAATTCACCAAAACTGCAAACTCATACTCAATCTATTAACACTCTGCTTCAGAATATCTGGAGTGAAAAGCAAAAGTAGTAACTGAAAAATAAAAAGAAGAGGTCCAGTAGGAATAAGAAGATGAAGAGGGTTAGTTGAGATTCAGGGCATTGTCTTGTGCATCTCGCTGTTCTCAAGTGGTCTCTCCTTTCTACTCTATCCACTGGAAAATTTCTATCCATCCTTTGAAGCAACAGTGACATCAGTGACTCCATATCAATCATGTGGAAGAAGCAGTAAATATTTACAAAGGCCGTCAAAAAGCTCAGATCAAAGTATCAGTGAAGGCGAAGATAAAAAAAAGAAAAAAGAAAAGGTGGGAGCAGAAAAACAGCCGAAAACACAGGGGCTGAGTTCCCCGTCTCGGAGATAAGTAAAGGCCGAGAGGTCCAGCACGGCCCACGTGAGGGAGCTTTTCGGGTCTTAGGTGGTGATTTGAGGATAGATTACATCACGTATTTTCTGCTGACATACTCTGACCCGGCGGAACACGTGGATTTCGCCGCAGTCACGCTGCTCAAGTGTTCTCAAAAAGCTCACCACGTGATTCACACATGGGGAAGTTCTCCAGATTAAGTTTGTCCATAAAAAAGACCCTAACAAAGTCAATCATCGTAAGTTTCTTTCATATCAGTGTTAAACGCAAGTCTATCCTGGCTGACAATAGGCAAAAGGCAGGCTACACCCTTGACAGGTAAGCAGTCCATCACAGGAGCACACAGAGACAACCAACCATACACACTCACTTTCACTCCTAGGGGCAATTTAGAGTCATCACTGAACCTAATGTGAATATATTTTGGATGGTGGTACCCAGAGTACCTGGAGGGAATTCTAAACATGCAAACTCGACACAGAAAGGCCCCCAGTGCCCCGGGGATTTGAACCAGGACACATGAAAAACATTAGAAATAATAAACAGAACCATATGAAACATTTTTTCCCAGAGTGAATAGTGATCATACATCGGCTAACATTAATTATTAGGAAACTAATTTTCCTAAAATCTAGTAGCCATGGGATGGCCCGTCCAGTGGTGTTTTATCCTATAGGCGGGAAAGGAGAACCGAAACCGAGACTCATGTCAGCACTGATGCAATTACAAGAACCTTACCACGAACCCGAGAAAATAAACCTATATCCACGCTATGTTCGGAGTCTACGTGTTACTCCAAGTCTTGTCAATGCACATAATAATTCAGCTATAGGGTAGCTCGAACCGTATAAATCACTGTAAGTGCTCATGCTCTCATCTAATCAAAACACAGACAGGGATCGTCCATCATCGGTGTGAACACAGTGACAAGAAGTGGGGAGAATGAAGGTGAGGGCTGTGGACAGCACTCTCGACTCATCCGTCTTGTCCGTTAAAGAGTCCGGAGCGTCCCAAAGACTTGGCATCCCTCTTTTCTGTTGGAGGTAAAAAGCCGGAGCGCTCTTCAGCGGAGAACTGAAGTCATGTGTGGAAATGGGAATTTGGTGTTGTGTTTAATAAATCTAGTCCAGACTGGATTTTAGGCTTTTTATCTCTAAAATGACACCAGAGAAATGACTGGAGCCGCTTCTACACCTTGTGAAATTCTATGTGGCGTTCGATCTCCTGAGACCCAGCAAAGTGCCTCAGTTTAAACGGAGAAGCGTTTCAGAGCTTTATTTAATAAAACAAAACGAAACAAAGCTTTTGACAAGAATATAATGTGTTTTGCCGTGGACGACTCCCAACACTTTCCTGTGATATGTGATTTGTTGAGATTCCGCCAATGAGACAGAAGATCAAGGCTCAATAGGTAACAGTGCATTATTGGATCACGTTAAAGAAACATTGATTCATCGTTTTATTTTCGACAGGTTACTTCCTCTTATTCTTCATCTTTATAGATCT